TATTAGTAGAATCATGTTTTGATCTGTAACATCCATATTAATAACATAATGTTCACTCTCTAGAATTAATATGTATATTAGTAGAATCATGTTTTGATCTGTAACATCCATATTAATAACATAATGTTCACTCTCTAGAATTAATATGTATATTAGTAGAATCATGTTTTGATCTGTAACATTCCATATTAATAACATAATGTTCACTCTCTAGAATTAATATGTATATTAGTAGAATCATGTTTTGATCTGTAACATCCATATTAATAACATAATGTTCACTCTCTAGAATTAATATGTATATTAGTAGAATCATGTTTTGTAACATCAATATTAATAACATAATGTTTACTCTCTAGAATTAATATGTATATTAGTAGAATCATGTTTTGATCTGTAACATCCATATTAATAACATAATGTTCACTCTCTAGAATTAATATGTACATTAGTAGAATCATGTTTTGACTGCCGGTGTAAAACGCGCGTTAGTAATAAAATTAAAATAAGATTATAGATGTTGTGACTTTTGAACTTTCTTCAGGTTAAGCCTTACTTTTTGTGTGTACAAAGATATATATGTATTTAAATATCAGGAGGTAAGACGCACCCAAATTACTAAAAAATAACTCAACTTATTTTGCAAACTCGAAGGTTTCATTTGCAATAAATTTTATAAACTTGGTTCACATTGAAAAATTAACATTAACCACTCTCTTAACTGGTACACGTTTAAAAATAAAAAAACATTTCTTAACTCTCTCATGCAATTATTAATTGTTTAATCAAAGAAAGATTATTTGACAAAATTATCTTCGAATTGTGTTATTTGGAATGTCAGTTAATAAGCTGTGGAAAATAAAAGATTATTAACTTCTTCTCGGCGAAAACAAATAGAGTAAAACCTAGAGTAAGTTTACTTCTTTTATTCAATTCTTGAACTTATTAGTCATATGGAATATTCTGAAGAAAAGATAGAATAAAAAGAAGAGTCTTAAGCAGTTGGAGTTTAGTTTGTTTGTTTGAAATTAAGCACAAAGCTACACAATGGGCTATCTGTGCTCTGCCCACCACGGGTATCGAAACCCGGATTCTAGCGTTGTAAGTTGAGTTTAGTTCGTATCTACCAGAATATTTCTCAATGGTCAACATTTAGAAACTCTGGCGGTAAGGGGACTGCTTTCTAGTATCATTGTTTGTTTGTTCAGGTTTTATAAACCTTCAAGATTATTGACTGACCACTTTAGGGAAAACCTTGTATTTTATTTTATTATTTTTTGAATAAAAAGTCCGTACGAATAAAACACGGTTTTTTGTTTTATGAATCATTCCACTTTAAATCAACTTAAAATTTCGTTAACTTTTTTTGTAATCTGATTGGACAAACGGGATAATTAGAGCAACACCGTGAATTAAACCAACCGCAACTAATTCAAATACCGGCTGGTATTTAGAGAAACGACCATGTAATACTTTTGGCTATCTTATCTGGAAGAGGTTGTATTTTCAAATGAATTATTGTTTAAGTATTTTAAATAAAGTATAACTAGTTGTCTTTTAAATTATGTAACCATCAACTACTGTGACTTCTTTATAGAACACTATATTTCTAGAGATAATCATTCAAACACTCTACAAAAGCAGCTCCGTTATCCATTATCTTACAGTAATTTCACAAATCTCCGTTAGGGTTTGGCCTTCTTACAGCCGATGTAACCTGGAAAACGTAAACGAATGCATTCTGTATCGTGTATTATGCTTATCATATTTTTATGTTCTATATATTACTTATTATCTTTAAAATAAGATTGATATTTATTCTTCGAAGTGATTATACTATTTTATTCCAAGTTGTTCCCATAATACTACCTCACAATTTCATTGTTTGTCTAATGTAATCAGTATTTGTTAAATGACTTCCTGTTACTAGTAAGAACGTTCATTGGATGAATCATCTAATGTGTATTAGAGTTATATATTTGTATTAGGGTTGGACAACTGATTTTTAATTATTTTCTTCTCTTCTTTTGACTAACAGAAATAGAATAAAATATACAAAATTAAATAACACTGTCTATATGGCCAATAATGCAAAATTAAATAACACTGTCTATATGGCCAATAATACAAAATTAAATAACACTGTCTATATGGCTAATAATGCAAAATTAAATAACACTGTCTACATGGCCAATAATACATTTTTTCTAAACTATTCATGATACTACCAAGAACTAATATTAACTAGTTTCTTTTGAAATTAGACTTATCTTTTACTAACTGTATAGCTTATTACTTAATTTCTGTAGTGAATATTGTTGTATAGAAGACATCTTAATAGTAGAAATAAACGACCTTATAACAATAAATTGTTATTTTTCTTTAAATGGACACTCAACGTTACGGTTTGTGTTTTAGTGGAACGTTCCTGAAGAAGCTGTAAAGCGAAACGTTGAATGTCTAAAGAAAAACAACAATTGTTAGGTCGAAGAGCTGTTTTCGTGTACATCTGCTTGATAGTTGTGATGGTATTCAATTCATACTTAATGGAGGTAATGTTTTGATCTTGTTTTTATATTAGCTAGTGTTTGTGTGTTCTGTAAACTTAATGGAACTAATGTTTTGATCTTGTTTTTATATTAGCTAGTGTTTGTGTATTCTGTAAACTTAATGGAGCTAATGTTTTGATCTTGTTTTATATTAGCTAGTGTTTGTGTGTTTTGTAAACTTAATGGAACTAATGTTTTGATCTGGTTTTTATATTAGCTAGTGTTTGTGTGTTCTGTAAACTTAATAGAACTAATGTTTTGATCTGGTTTTTATATTAGCTAGTGTTTGTGTGTTTGTAAACTTAATGGAGCTAATGTTTTGATCTGGTTTTTATATTAGCTAGTGTTTGTGTGTTCTGTAAACTTAATGGAACTAATGTTATGATCTGGTTTTTATATTTGCTAGTGTTTGTGTGTTCTGTAAACTTAATGGAGCTAATGTTTTGATCTTGTTTTTATATTAGCTGGTGTTTGTGTGTTCTCTAAACTTAATGGAGCTAATGTTTTGATCTGATTTTTATATTAGCTGGTGTTTGTGTGTTCTGTAAACTTAATGGAACTTAGGTTTTGATCTGGTTTTTATATTAGCTAGTGTTTCTGTGTTCTGTAAACTTAATAGAACTAATGTTTTGATCTTGTTTTTATATTAGCATGTGTTTGTGTGTTCTGTAAACTTAATGGAGCTAATGTTTTGATCTGGTTTTTATATTAGCTAGTGTACATGTACATTATTGTCATGAAGAGTTACCTTAATTCAATATATGCATTTAACAAAACGAAACTGTACATTTATGTTGTGGTCTGAATTATTAGAAATGAATAATACCAAATAAAGACAAACGTAAAAAGTTTAGAATGACATGAAACTCTTATTGCATGTTTGATTTTAGGGTTAACCTAACATTATCTGTATGCGCTCTTTCCACCAAGCAGAATCGAACCCCGTATCTTAGCTTTAGAAACCAAGATTCGAAATTTTTCACGTGGAGTAATTCTGTTTGTCTTTTTTATTAACAAGTTCTCTTGTGTAAAAGAATAATGATAAGAGAGAAACATTTAAAGTACTTTTTACCTCTAGTTTTTGCTAATTTTTAGTGCATGATGTTCACCCCCGCTTTGCATCACTAATGAATTTCGTAGACGTCTCATAGAGAACAGTCTATATTGTGGGATTTTTCACTGATCAATATGATGGTAGTACCAAGTAACAAGCACGCATTAATTGTAAACTTGTACTTACTTAAAAAATAAGTTGCTATTAATTTCGCTAGCCCTATTTTTATCACCTCAATTAATATGGTCGATATTTTAATAAATCCATATTAGCGATATTGTACTTTCGTTACTATAACTATAATAGAATAAATAAAACAAACAGTATTTTTGTTAAATGTAACGAGAAATATATGTATGTGAATGACCTTTAGATGTTACACATTGTTTTTTGTTTGTCTTTAAGGACAGGTCAGTCACTGTGTTAAGGCACACACATTCGGACAAGTGATAAATTTAGCCTTGTGTGGAAACGCTTGACTTCCATTAAATCAGTATAAATAGAGCTTCATGTGGTCCATTCATCACTTGCATCTGTTTCAAAATTCCACCATCTCAGCCATGGTTGCTCAAAAGGTAAACTGAATCCATGTTATACATACTGTATTTCTATTGTTTGATCTCTAGTTTAAAATAAAATATTGGTTTATATTACTTGTGGGATATGTCAATCAAATGCGAAATATATTATGTCATAAAGTGGTCTTTTTTTGAGTCAGTTTATTAGTATAGGTTTTTCCCAAAAATGTAGATAACGTTTGTTCGTGAATACCTACTAATACTGATTCCTTGTCTTTAGGTGATCCTTGTGTTTTCTCTCTGTCTTCTGGTATTGACAGTTTGGGCTGATGAAAGTAAAGAGACAGTAGATACCGAAGATCTTAAAGCCAAAGCTACAGGCTATGGTGGATATGGAGGCGGTGGAATCGGTTTGGGCGGATATGGAGGAGATGGATTCGGTTTAGGCGGATATGGAGGAGGTGGATTCGGTTTAGGCGGATATGGTGGAGGAATTGGGAATGGGTATGGTGGAGGTTTCGGAGGTGGGTATGGTGGTGGAGTAGTAACACTTCTTGCTATTCCAATTAGTGTCGTTCGCGTTCGTTTATTAGGAATTGGTGGTTATGGTGGATTAGGTGGACTCGTTGGTTATGGTGGATTTGGTGGACTTAGTGATTATGGTGGATTAGGTAGTCTCGGTGGTTATGGTGGTTATAGAGGATTAGGTGGAGTCGGTGGTTATGGTAGATTTGGGGGACTTGGTGGTTATGATGGATTAGGTAGTCTCGGTGGTTATGGTGGATTAGGTGGAGTCGGTGGTTATGGTGGATTAGGTAGAGTCGGTGGTTATAGAAGATTAGGTGGAGTCAGTGGTTATGGTGGATTTGGTGGACTTGGTGGTTATAGAGGATTTGGAGGACTCGGTGGTTTTAGAGGATTTGGAGGACTCGGTGGTTATGGTGGACATGGCGGTTACATTGGTAGAAGATACTACAAGGGATGGTGATATATTGTAAGTATAACAACTTGGATGGTAATATATTGTAAATATAACAACTTGGATGGTAATATATTGTAAATATAACAACTTGGATGGTAATATATTGTAAGTATAACAACTTGGATGGTAATATATTGTAAGTATAACAAGTTGGATGGTAATATATTGTAAGTATAACAAGTTGGATGGTAATATATTGTAAGTATAACAACTTGGATGGTAATATATTGTAAATATAACAACTTGGATGGTAATACATTGTAAGTATAACAACTTGGATGGTGATATATTGTAAATATAACAACTTGGATGGTAATATATTGTAAGTATAACAACAACTTGGATGGTAATATATTGTAAATATAACAACTTGGATGGTAATATATTGTAAGTATAACAACTTGGATGGTAATATATTGTAAATATAACAACTTGGATGGTAATATATTGTAAGTATAACAACTTGGATGGTAATATATTGTAAGTATAAGAACAACTTGGATGGTAATATATTGTAAATATAACAACTTGGATAAATGTAGATCTTATTACTACCCAAACAATTTGTTCACCTAATGGAATAACTACAACTGATATATTTCTTTAGTTTTTATTTAGCACATTTATGTTTGCTGATATAATTTATCCAATAGTATTATTATCTCAAAATAATATTGATATGAACGGATGTATCTATTATTATTTTCAGAAATATATTTAGTATTGAGTGAATGGTTGTTTTGAACACATTATTGTATTTTCTAGGTTCGATTCCTGAAGTTCTACTTGGAAAACAGAAAGTTCCTGACAGTTTCATGCCTAGTTATCCTGTTTCGTCAACAACACTGAGTTAACAAGTGCGAATTGTATATACATTATGCCTAACTTACTCTTTGTTTGGAGTTGGAATAATACTGATTATGATGATTTAAAGTGTCTATTGCTTGTAAAAAAAATTAAAAAGATTATCAATGTTAAATATTGTCTGTCAGTTTTACTTTAAAATGTTTGAATTACGTAATCTAAAAATAATGTTTCTGCATAATATTACACCACTTTAACTGAATGAACAGATATTTAATTATGGTTGTTAAAATTCCGTAAACATGATCGTTGTAATAACATCTTGTAATGTGTAATCAACACTGTGAACCACAATATTTAAGTAGTCAGCCGGTTCTGGTCACTGTTCTCAACCATAACACTATCATAAACAGGTAGTGACTTATGGTGGATAATATCAGTTATAAACAGTCAGTAAAATACGATCAACACATTCAGTGGGCTTTTATTCTATCTAATGATCTATTAAACTACTCACAGCAATCCGATAGGGTTCCATAGATTTGGAAGTCCGGGTGGCTTTGGATGACGTGGTGGAGGATATCAAATGTAATGTCATTAATGGGAGTAAATTATACATATATAAACTTATCTCTTCCACAGGGTGTACATTACAAAACACGGATAATATTTAACTTGTAGTACAATACTTACTTATAAAATAAGAAACAAGAAACATCAAGAATTACGCGATACAGTTGCGCTCACAACAAAAAAGAAATAATATTTGGCTGTATTCTAAACAAAAGAAGTTAGCCAACTCATGCCCGTACCTGTAATAATGTCTTATCGATTCAGTGATATATATACAACTGTTACACGATATTCAATAAATAAATTCGATTGTTTACAACAGTCAGTTGTCACTAGTCTTTAGTTTATTATCATTGTTGTGTACTGCTCTCACTAACTAACAATAATAAACCAATTTTAGTATGTTTATATCAACCATGTGCTGATCTATATTAACAATACCATGTTCTGATCCATATTAACAACATCATGTTCTGATCTATATTAACAACATCATGTTCTGATCTATATTAACAACACCATGTTCTGATTCATATTAACAACACCATGTTCTGATCCATATTAACAACACCATGTTTTGATCCATATTAACAACATCATGTTCTGATCTATATTAACAGCACCATGTTCTGATCCATATTAACAACATCATGTTCTGATCCATATTAACAACATCATGTTCTGGTCCATATTAACAATACCATGTTCTGATCCATATTAACAACATCATGTTCTGATCCATATTAACAACATCATGTTCTGGTCCATATTAACAACACCATGTTCTGATCTATATTAACAACACCATATTCTGATCCATATTAACAACATCATGTTCTGATCCATATTAACAACACCATGTCCTGATCCATATTAACAACATCATCATGTTCTGATCCAGATTAACAACATCATGTGTGTGTGTGTGAACCTAAACCGAGCTGTGAATTATAAGACTAATAAAAAAGAAAACAAAACTGTCCATTTCCAGTTAACTCATAACGGATGTGGTCATAGCAACCAAAGACGTTGAGGATATTCCAGCTATCAGACATAACCCCAACCGCAAATGTCATGTTGTGTTTGGCTCACAACGTCTCAACTCCTACTGTTAAAATACCCTTATAATAGAAATAAACCACCCCATATTTCCACATTTGTATGATTCTCAACCTCCAGTCTTTTAAAAGAACATTATGGTAAATAGAACTATAATCCCTTACTTTGATAGTTCTGTAATAATTAAACACCTAATCTTATTCCTTGACAAAACTTATTTAAGTACAGTCCGGAGAAGCTAAGACTAACCATTCCATTCCGGTATACTGAACAAGTCACAATTTAAAGCTAGTCCTCTGTATAAACTCTTGAAGTAACATATAGTATTTACTTACATATATAAATAATAGACCTGACGCACGCAAAATAGTCGAAAATGGTTATACTTGTTTTAGAAGCTAGTTCTTTAATGACAGAAATAAATATATTTAGAGTTGTTTGTGAAAGATCGTTAACAAGGTATATAAAAATCACTTTTGGTTGCAAAATGCACTATCAGCTTGTTTTAAAGTCATGGAAAACGTTATAATAAGTCATGGAAATGTTATGGGAAGTCATGGGAAACGTCATAAGAAGTCATGGAAATGTCATGGGAAGTCATGGGAAACGTTATGGGAAGTCATGGAAACGTTATGGAAGTCATGGAAATGTTATGGGAAGTCGTGACATTTCCATGACTTCTTATGACGTTTCCCATGAGAAGTCATGAGAAACGTTATGAGAAGTCATGGGAAACGTCATAAGAAGTCATGAGAAACGTTATGAGAAGTCATGGGAAACTTTCTTAGATGTCATAGAAACGTTATGGGAAGTCATGGAAAACGTCAAAAGAAGTCATGAGAAACGTTATGAGATATCATGGGACACGTCATAAGAAGTCATGAGAAACGTTATCAGAAGGCTATGAAAACGTTATGTAAAATGTCATGGGAAACGTTATGTATAATACAAAACATTGATAATGATCAGAGCAAAGCATGAAGATAATTCAGTTGGAATTATTATTGAAAATAAACAAACACGAATTAATGATTTTTTTTATAGAGATGTGCTTGAATTTTAATCTTTGTGGCCCTTTCAACGAGGTTCCTCAATAATTATTTGAATATATATATATTTAAATTATTTCTTTTTGTCTTATCAAATCATAAAATATTACTTTCATAGAAACGTATTCTTTCCATTCTAGAAGTCAGATTTAAACAACTTAATTTAGTTACCCATTGCCGTGCATTGCTTTTTAAACGAAGCAGAGGAAGATTTAATATAATACGTCACTTGCTCTAGCTTCAGCCCAAGACAGACGATAATCTCTAAACTTTATCAGAAAGGACGGAGAAGTTCCATTCAGACTTAGTTCCAAATGTATAATGACTTATCTCCTAGCCTTTCATAGTTCATTGAAGCTTTTTACTGTCAGTTTCGGTTCGTGATTTTAGTGAACACTCCGGAAGAAGCTGTAAAGCGAAACTTTGAGTGGCTAATTAAATAGATTTGGTTTTATAAGGTTGTTTATTTCTAATATTAATAAACCAAATATACTGTTTATCTATATTTATACAATAATACGTTTTCTAAACAATTGGGGTTACGACTGTCTTCCTATCGCCAAGCAACAAGTTTATTTATATCTCAGAATATGCATCATGGTATTGTTAGACCAATAGTGATTTTTCGGGAAAACCTACTGCCTCATTAATCGCGGTATTATACTTTTCTGTATATATTTTTTTCGTTGTAAATATATTACAGAAAATATTATTGAGGTGGAACTTTACACAACCATTTATTCTGTAACATAGTAGATATTTTTATTACCTACAACTGACTAATAACACCGACAAGAGACACGTGAAAATTATAATTAAATTAGATATTTTTGGAAACTGTTGACTTTCTAAGACTCTGGATATCTATAAATACAGCTTGAAAAAGGTTCCTCAACAGACACTTGCTTCTGAATCCAAGACGACAACATCTTGCAACAATGATTTCACAGAAGGTAAATATTGTTTAATCAAATACGCAAAATATAACATCTTTGATCGTTTTCTCATTAGTAAAATCGAATTTTTTCGCCGTTCAAGAAATAATATTCTTATTACATTAACCATTTTTAAACTGAGTATCCTATTTATTTCAAAGTGTCTTTTCAAATATTGCTATCAAGTTAGTATTACATTTGAATTCTATTTCATCATTATAATTTGTATAATAGTTTATAGTTAAAATATACACTGAGAGATTAATGTGTTAAAATTAACTGCCGAAAAACCTCCTCTCTACAAGGTACTCACTGCCTCTTCTCTCACACTTCTGCTATTGTTGGAAGTTTGTGCTGAGGGAAATAACCGGGCTTACGAGACTGAAGATCTGAAGGCTGAAGCGACAAGATATGGCGGATATGGTTCGGGGAGACTAGTAGGGAGATACGGAAGTGGATATAATTCGGGGAGACTTGTAGGAGGATACGGAAGTGGATATGGTTCGGGGAGACTTGTAGGAGGATACGGAAGTGGATATGGTTCTTTGAAGTCTACACTTTCAAAAGTCGCTTCAGACTATTTCTT